GTCCACCAGCAGAGGATGGTTAATTTCATTTTGAAATTGGAGATTTGTCTCAGTGGTAGTGTGCTTGCCTGGCAAGTGTAAGGCCCTAAGTGTGGACACTAGCACCAGTATCAGGGCTCACAAACACAATAATAGTCCTTTTAGATATCAGTAACACATACCTACAATTCTAGGCACTTGGGAGGCTAAAGCAAGAGGACCGAAAATTTAGGGACAGTCTGGACAGCATAGAGAAACTGTCTCAAAACACAAATTCATACAATCCTGGGGTCATTCAGCCTGTCTGAGCCTCAGTTTTCTCATCTGTAGAATGGGCTCAACAATGTCAAACTTGCAGGGCCGTGTAGATGAACATGATGTACTCAGTGCCTGTAGTCTTGTAATTTACCTTATTCGCCGTTTCACTCTGTAATTTCTTCATCTGCCTAATGGGCACAGAAGACCCAATTTAGAAAATGGTTATGTGAATGAACTGAGACAGGAGCATTAAGACACATTAAGTTTCATAGTTGGGCTAGACAAAGTGTCTGCATCGCTGCCTGCCATTATTGTATCATTTTCTTTTTGTGTATGTTATGTGTGAAGGTATGCATGAGCACATGTGGGCCAGAGGTTGACATCAGTGTCTTCTTCAGTTGCACTGTAACTTTAACTTTTGCATCTTTCTGAACCTAGAACTTTACATCACTTTAACTATTCTGGCTGGCCAGTAAGTCACTGGGGTTCTCCTGTCTCTGCCTCCACAGCTCTGAGATTTCAAGCATGGGACTGCAGGCCTCACTTTTGTGTGTGTGTGTGTGTGTGTGTGTGTGTGTGTGTGTGTGTGTGTGTTCAAGTGTTTGGGGGAAGTGATGGGGACCGCATTTCTAAGCGGTGCAGAGACACTCCCAGGTTGCCATCGAACTGGATCCAAGCAAGACTTTCCAGGGCAGAGTCTGAGTCAATCTATACTCAACCAGACTGCTGCCAGAGCTGTTAGGAGTACAGACCAAAATGTACCTCATTCAGATGAAAATTTCCCTTATAAATTTCTTTTAATCCAATTTTAAAAATAAGCAAAAAAAAAAAAAATTTAAAATAACAACAACAACAAAAAGGCACACAGAGGTCAGCTGAGGAGAGTTCCTACAGTAAACAGCCTGTTTCCCAGGAGTGTTTTCCCGGCCAGGCCGCTCGGATGCCAGACCATTCTGACTGTGGGTTACCCTGTGGCCTGGGGTTGTCGAAGGCTACGCTGATTCCCGGTTTGCTGGGCAGACTCTGCCATCTGTTTCACCAAGGACGCTGTTCCCACTGACAGATAAAGTACTCCGGCCTACATTATCTACACTCTGCGTTCTCTACACTAACACCTCTCTAGGTCCAGTCTCCTTGTCTTCTTTTCTTTGTCTTTTTCTTTTTGTTTGGTTTGTTTCTTTTGTTTGTTTTTTGCTTTGTTTGACAGTTTCCCTGCATAGCAGCCCAAGCTGGCCTGCGACTTGACGTCCCCTTGCCTTGGTCTTCTGAGCAACAGTCTAGTGTTAGGGAGCTGGATCATCCTTCCCAGCTTCAAGTTTGATGTCCAGTGGAAGAAACAATTACTGCTAGAGGAAGAAAGACCAAGATGAGCTGCAAGTGAGTAGGCCTTCCAGAACCCACTGCGGAACAATGGCACTTCCATATGGGTCACTTCTCAGAGGTTGAAATAGGGAGTAATGCAAATGTCCGCCTAAACAGAATGTGGTGGTGCTGACTGGTATAGGGAATACACTTATTCACCCCCTACCATGAGGGCCAGCGGCAAAAATGCCAGCAAAAAGGGTCTACACTCTGCAGACGGTTCTCGTTGGCTGGGGACCCTGTCATCTCCTCTTGCTCAATAATGGCTGTGGTGCCCTACGCACAAAGATTCTCTTAGCTGGACTGGAAGAACTGAGGGCAATGCAGCAAATGTGTAAAGGATCCTGTTCCTGGGAGTGATTTGGGTCTGTCTTGGAGGAAGGCTGCCTCCTTTACCTTCTGTCCTGTGATACAGATGTTTAAAGCTAGTTGTGTCAGTACTTGGCCTGTGGAAATTCTTCTATCAGTTTGACCAAAATATTTATGCACTAATCAAAGTGGGATGCTTTGGGACAAGAAATGTATCACTCATTTGATAGAATGATTGCCTGGCATGCACAAAGCCCTGGGTCAGATCTAGCACAACACAAACCAAGTGTGATGGCTTATGCCTGCAATCCCAGCATGGGGAGGTACCAGAGACATCTTTGGGGAAAACAGCTTTTCTCTCTTTCAATTTGTCAGACTGTCTCTGATGCTGCCAATCATAGGTCTTAAACCACTGATGAGTGGGCATATAATGTAAACTGATAGATTGTATCAGTCTATCTGTCTGGACATAACGAATTTACAGAGGAGAGGCTATGGAACCCAGAACAAGCAATCAAAGTCCTTCCCCATAATTCTCAAGAAGTTGGAAGAACGGCTGATGCTGTCCTTTACTAGGAAACGGATGCCACCTAAGAGAGCCTTTGAGAATGAAGCAGCGAAGAGAAAGGAGAAACAGAAGTGTCTGGGTAATGTACATTTGTACCGATCTTTGATTTGTTTACTTGAAATAAATGACCTCTTTTAGTTTTAAGTTTGTTGGAATAGGGTTTCTGTGCCTTGCAATTGAAAAGGGCCTGAGCAGAGCTGGTAAGAGAGCTCTTCAAGTTAAAAAGCATTGATTTGCTGTGTAAAAGCCTGGTGACCTCAGTTGAATTTCTGGAACTGACCCCACAAAGTTTTTCTCTGAACTATACACACAAGCCATGGCATGAGTGCCCACATCCACACATCATACACGTGTGCACGTATAAACACACATACACACAAGATTAAAAATAAATAAATAAATGAAGCCAGGCAGTGGTGGCTCACACTTTTGATCCCAGTACTTGGGCTGCAGACTCAGGCAGATCTCTGAGTTCCAAGCCAGCCTGGCCTATAGAATGAGTTCCAGGACAGGCAGCTCTATACAGAGATACTCTGTCTCAAAAATCAAATATATACATATATACATAGAGGCCTGAGTGGAAGATTGTAAGTGGCTGAAGATCCATCAACAGTTGTTGATATGTACAGCTGTAGCCTCCCATTTATGTATACATACCCGTTCAACAGGCTTGGTGTCAGGTGGGAGGTACCTGGCCCAAGGAGCTGATTCTGTATCTACTAATGGAACGAGTTTGTCTTTCAAAATCATCAACCTATGGGACCTCCTTCCTTTTTGCTTTTTTTTTTTTTTTTTTTTTTTTTTGGCATGGGACCTGGGCTCAAGAAATCTTCCTGCTTTGGTGGCTGAAGTACCTGGGGCTGTAAGTACATGTTGCCTACAAATTCGACTGCTAAAAGAACCTTGATAGCGAATGCTGGGAATACGGCTCAGTGGGATAGCACTTGCAGAGGTGAATCCCTGGGTTTGAACTCCATCACCTAGACTGTGGTGGTTTGAAAGAGAAATACCCATTAGAGGCTGAGAGATTTGAATACTTAATCCCCAGGGGTGGCACTGTTTGGGTAGGTTTAGGGGGTGTGGCCTTCCTGGAGGAGGCATGTCCCTGGGGTCCATCTGAGGTTTCAAAGCCACTGGCATTCCTAGATCTTACTCAGCTTCATGCTTTTAAGATGTGAACCCTGAGCTTCCTGCTCCTGTGACCACGCTCCATCATCATGGGCTCTAACCTTCTGGAGTGGTAAACCCACATAAACTCTTCTAGAAGTTGCCTTGTACATGGTGTTTTATCACATCAGTAGAAAAGGAACACACCATCACCACCACCAACAAACCCCTGGCTTTGGGCAATCAACTCTCCAGACTTCAGTTGAGATGACCAGTCCTCCTAATTTGTTAAGGACTGAGCATGTTCTGGAGGCTGCTCGGGGAGGGCGGCAGTCGTTGCTAAAACAAAGGCAGTCTCTGGCAGACTAGGACAGTTGCTTACCCAAGCTTAGGTCCCCATCCATAAAATGAGATTGGACTGAATTGGCTGTGAAATTCCACCAAAACCTGTATTCAAACAGGCACTGCCAACTGACCTCATAACGGAGTCCAGTGACTTTAGGTGTAATATCCCTACAAGGCTTAGCATCTGGCCGGCTGCTCTCAGAGTTAGTACCTATTGCCACCCTTGACCGAACTTTTAACTAGGATCCGCTTTAGATGGAGCTCCGATGCAAACCCGGAGTCAGATTTTCTTCTGCTGTGGTAAACTCTCCAGAACTTGCAGGTCTTGTTTGTTTTTCGTATTTGATTGCACACTTGGGGGAAAACATGGGCTGGCAATGGGTTATGTATAATTTAGTTTTTCTTTAAATGATGTGCTAGATCTACATAAACACTCTCGTACTAACGCTAAGAACTTATGGGTGTGCATTTTGGAAATTACCAATCCGAGACTTACTGGTCTGGTACTTGTCTAAACCTTGTCTGGAGAGGACAGCACAAGATCCTAAGGCCCACCTGGCTCCAACAGTCACCACCTTTCTCTCCGCCATGATTTGACTAGATGTCTACTTCCACCCTTCAGTGCACAGTCCAAACACCTCTCTGTAAGGGCGGAGTATGCAAAGTCCTCAAGGACTTAGGTTTCCTCGAAATCAAGCGGCCCATCTGGGGTTACTCTGCGTGGCTGGCTGGGGAGCCAAGAAGTTCCAGATAGCCCAGATTGGGCAGAAAAAAAAAAAAAGGTCCGCGGGGCAGCTTCTAGCTGCTAGGGGAGGGGCGACAGCAGTTCGCAGAGAGGCCGGCTGACAGGCTAGGGGCCGGGGATGGTGCTGCAGAAGGAACCGGGTTTCACTGCAACCCAGCCGCCCCGCAAGCCGGTGGGTGGCGCATGCGCGGCGCGGGTCGCGGAGTTGTGAATGGTGCGTCTTGTTTGCTGGAGTTTGAGGCGGTCGGGCGCGCGAGAAGGAGGGGTGGGGCCGGCGGGGGCGGGGGCGAGCGGGCGAAGGGGGGCCGGCGAGAGGAAGTGGCGGCGGCGGCCGGGGGAGGCCTGAGCTGTGTGTCTGCGCGGGCGGCAGGCAACGGCCGGGGAGGGCGGCGGCGGCGGCGTGGGCTGGGCTCCGGCGGGCGGCCGCACCTCAAGACTCCCCGGAGCGGGAGCCCACGCGGGCGGGCTCCCGAAACAAAGAGAAGCGGGAGTCCGGACGCGGCGGGTGGGCGGTCGAGCCCGGTTCTGCCCCGGAGCCCGCCGGCGGGTGCCCGCGCCGAGCCCGGAGCGCGGCCGCTCGGCGCGGCCTGAAGGGCGGGAAGATGCCGCGCGTCGTGCCCGACCAGAGGAGCAAGTTCGAGAACGAGGAGTTCTTCAGGAAGCTGAGCCGCGAGTGCGAGGTGAGGCGGGCGGGGGCGGGGGGGGCGCGGAGGCCTCGGCGCGCGCCGCGTGGGCTCGGGACGGAGAAAAGTTTGCGCGGCTCGGCGCCCGGGAAGCCCAATCTCGCCCCGGCGGCAGCCCGCCCGCGGACTCTGCCTGTCCTTATCGGGGCGGCGGGGGGCGGGCGGGCGGGCGGGCGCCGCCGCGGATTTGGCTCCTGATTTCGGGCCGCGTCTGCCTTGCAGATTAAGTACACGGGTTTCAGGGACCGGCCCCACGAGGAGCGCCAGACACGCTTCCAGAACGCCTGCCGCGACGGCCGCTCGGAGATCGTAAGTCGGGGGGCCCCGGCGCGCGGGGAGGCCTCCGGGGAGGCGGGGGAGGGGGGGGCCCGCGCGCGCCGCTCACTTGTTGCGCGCGGCCCCGGGCGGGTTCCGGACGGCGCCGCGGACGCCGCGGCTCCCGGAACTGAGCGGGCGCAGTCTCACTTCCTAGTCCGGATTCGAAAGGCGCAAAAAAAAAAAAAAAAAAAAAAAAAAAAAAAGAGAGAGAGAGAAAGAAAGAGAAGCACTGGAGGGCGGACGCGGGCGGCTCGGGCTGAGCGGTCGCGCGCTCTCCTTGGCCCGCCGCGATGGTTTGGGTCTCCCCGTTCGCCGCCGCGGCTGTCGGAGGGGACCTCCAACCGGAGCCAGGCAGAGGGGGTCGCCTGGCCTGCGACCTCGATCGGGGATCCCACCGTTCGCGGGGAGAATCCTCCAGGGGTCCGCGATAGGTTTGTCAGTGAGAAGCGAGATTGGCAGATCGATGGAAGCTATCTCCCAGTACAGCCGAGAGTGAATCTATTCCGCTTATCTGCTGTCCTGATAACAGGGAAAGGGCCCCCGAAGGATGAACCATCTTCTTAGAGCGTTAAGACTCGGAAAGGAACCTTTATTTTCCTTTTTCTAACCTAAACATGGCTGTCTGAGTATTGGGGTTCCTAAAGAACTGCCTGGCCCTAGGAAACCAAACCTGTAGTTGATCTAGAGGCTCCTGTTTTATATTTGAAGTGTACCACTTACTCATCGAGCCCTGGGTTGAAAAATATCAAAGTTGACCTAGTTTTCTCTTGCCTGTTAGTTGTCCCTTTTAGAGATGTTGGTTAGGAAGAAACAAAAAGAAAACTATAGGAAAGAGTTTTGGTTTGTGTGTGTGTTTTAAGTTGAAGCACTATGTAATGGGATCCTAAATGCTCAGTGACAGGCCCATTGCCTTAGCAGAAGTACAGTTTTTATACAGGTTAACAGTATAGGACTATTAAATATATTCCCTCCCCAGTCCAAAAAATTTTTGAGGTGTAATTAATATACCATGAACTCAACTTTTTGTCACTAAAACTAGATTTATTTATTTTTATTTTATGTACATTGGTGTGTTGTCTGTGTGAGAGTGTTGGATCCCCAGGAACGGGAGTTACAAACAGCTGTGAGGTGCCATGTGGACACTAGGAATTGAACCTGGGGCTTCTGGAAAAGCAGCTGGTGCTCTTAACCACCGAGCTGTCTCTCCAACCCAGATAGATTTATTTTTAAATGTTATTTAATATTTTTAATGAAGGCTGTTAGGATTGAATTGATAGTGAGATAACACTAATTTAATATATCAAGAGCTGTAGAATATTTGACCGTTAAGGTGTTTCATAAAAGAAAGCCTACCACTTTCAACACTTACTTCAACTGGTTTCTTGGGTAACTCTGATAGTTACATGATTCAAAAAGCATAAATGACTGTTTAGTTTTGGCCTTGAATGGTAGAAGGTCCTTCAGGAGTTGGTCCAGTGATGATGGCATCTTTTGCCTGTATTTCAGGATTAAAAGGTGGATGGTATACTTGATAAGGATTTCCTGAGATGCTATTAATACTAAGTATAAAAAAAAAAAGATTCAAATAAAATAAGTTACTATTTTTTAAAGCTGAGTTGATTTTTTTTTTTTAATGCAGTGATGCATAGCCAGTAGGGTTTATTTATTTATTTGTCCTATCAGTTTGGTGTGTGTAATTACAAATTGGGCATATAATGCACAGTATGTGTAAACAGCTGTATTTTAATGTTGTGATATAGCACGGTCATATATTTCTTTTTAGAATGAATCAGGCATTCTAGGCTCTCTTCTAAGTATTTGATCCTGCAAATTTTGTTTTTCTGTTTTTCTTTGAGAAAAAGTTGTATGTAACCTAGCATGAATTTACAGCCCACCTGCTTGGGCCTCCCAAGTCTAGGGATTCCAGGTGCTTGCAATGCTCGGTACAGCATGCCTAGCTCCTTACAAATTTTAATAAGCTTTCTTTGTTTTCTGAAAAATGTTATAAGTTAAGAAAGATAAATTGAGCTGGGCATGGTGGCAAATGCTGTTAATCCCAGCACTCAGGAGGCAGAGGCCAGCCTCTTTTGAGTTTGGGGATAGCCTGGTCTATATAGTGAGTTCCAGGATACCTAGAACTACAAAATAGGTAGACCGTTAGAAAAGAGAGAGATTAAAAAAGGTAGATTAAATTCTGTAAGATTTGCATTTATGATAGTATGTCTTTCTTGTTTTTCCTTTCACATTTTATCTTTATTTGTGTGTGCACTCGTGTGTGCCCGTGTGCCAGGGCACATACATGGTTGTTAGGGGACAGCAGTTCCCTCATGTAGATTGCAGGGATTGAACTCAAGTTGTCACTCTTGGCAGCAAGCATCTTCACCCATTGAGCCATCTCACCAAACCTTTTCCCCCCAATTTTCTTTTCCCAAACTGGCTTGAAAATACATGTCTTTATTTTATTTTTTATTTTTTATTTCTTGAAACGTGACTTATAAAGTCATGTTTAGCTTAAGCTAGCCTTGTGTGCGCAGCAATCCTCCTGTCTCTGCCTCCTGCATGTTGAGATTGCAGGTGTGAGCCACCATGCCTGGTTATGTGACTTATTTTGCTGAGTAATTGTTTTTAACTTAAAATGAACATGTTTTATTCTAAACTCTTGGTCTTTTTTGAGATTATAATATAATTGCATTTCACCCTTCCTTTTCTTTCTTCCCTCCAAGCTTTCCCATATGCCCCTCCCCACTCTTCTTCAAATTTACAGCCTCTTTTTCATTGTATCCATATGTGTGTCTACATATAAATTCCTAAATATAACCTACAATCCCTATAATGTTACACACACACACACACACACACGTTCAGGACCTACCATTTGGCACTGGACAGCCAGTTGGTGTGCTCTTCCTACGGAAGACCACCTCTCCCATTCCCAGCTTCCCTCAGTTTCTTCGTTCTTTATGTAGGGTTGAGTCCTAGTGGGCTTTCCCCCATCTACTTTGGCACATACAGTGTCATTCTTAATTCAGTTTGTGCTTGGGTGGTAATGTTGGTGCAACTTTATGGTGTTTGGCAGTCATGTTGGTAAGACTGTGTGTGTAGCTTCTGATATCACTAGGAAAATTCCCTGATCCTCTGGCTTTTACACTCTTTCCACTACCTCTTCCTCAATGTTGCCTGAGCCTTTGGTACAGGAGTGTTTTGCAGATGTGTCCATTGGGACTGGGCTCCACGGCAAGTGTCTTATCTTTTATTTTTTTTAACATCTTTTGATTTAGTAGAGGGGCCAGTATGTGTGCCATGATGAGTGGGTCAGAAGATAACTTAGAGAAATTGGTTCTTTCCATCACCATGTGGGTCCCAGGGTTTGAATTTATGCTGTCAAGGCTGCCTTTAAGTACAGTTACCTTCTCATTGGCCCTTTGATGAATAATTTAACTATTTGTATTTGGGATGGAATTTCACATTTCCTTTTACTTTTGGTTTTTATCTTTTAATTCTTTCCACCCTGGTACCAAGAATTGATTCCTAAGGTCTTGAGCATGCTAGGCAATATTATATAACTGAGCTGTATCCCTGGCCTGTTTGGGAAAAAATATATATTATTTTAAACTTTGAGAGAATTGATTTGAACTTGTGACCTTTTTGCCCTTTGTGTGAGTGCTGGAATTAAAAGTGTGCACCACCATGCCTGGTCATCAATTCTTAGAGTAAGAATGTTGAAAATATCTTAATGTCTTTAATATTAATAATACAACAAGAAATAATTATGAGAAAAATGACTTGTCAGTTATAATTCTACCGTGAGAAAAGTAAAAGCTCAGTGTTTGAAGCTGGTTTTCACTGTGTAACAGGCTGCCCTCAAACTCCTAATTCTCCTGTCTTTAATATATACTATAATTTTTTTTTTTTTTTTACTTTCCATTTTCTCACTAATACATACTTTTAATCCTGAAATTTGAATGGTAAGAAGTATGTTGGCGTTCTAAAACAAAGTGTGCCGTTTTACTGTTTTCAGAGTTTTCCCAACTCTTTCATATGTGTAGCTATTCCATCAGAAAGGTGGCTTATCCAGTGTTGTGCTGGGTGAAATGGAGAGCGTCTTTGATCCTAGATCTCAGGAGACAGGCAGATCAATATGAATTTCAGGCCAGCCTGTTTTTCATGGTGAGTTCCAAGCTAACAAGGCCTACATAGACCCTGTGTCAAAAGAAAAAGGAAGGAGAGAAAAAAATGGGGGTTACAGTACTTGCTTATCAGTTTTTGCCACTTTAGATAATAAGCAAGAAATTGGGGAAGCAGAAACTTTCTTTTTTAAAACATTACATTTTTTGTATGCACAGTCCCATACAATACACCTAAGAGGCAGCCACACGTGCACGTGGGCACTCACACATGAATGATGAGCTCAGGAAGTCAGAGGACCGTTTAACTGGACCTAGTTTTCTTTCCACCATGTGGATACTGAAGGTAAAACTCAGCTGTCCGTCTTGTGCAGCACCTTTATCCACTGAACCATCTCCCAGGCCCCTTTTTTATGTTTTGAGACAGATCTTATGTAGCATAGGCTAGCCTTGGAACTTGTGATTGTCCTGCCTCTGCTGCTTGAGTGCCTTAATTACAGGTGTTAGTAACACCCACCTCAGGAACCGCCTGAGGTTGCCATTCAAACAGGTTGCCAGGTAGTAGGATTTCTTAGTGCAGAGCTGGTTTGGAGCACTAGAGGGTGAAGGATTTACCTCTTCACAGCTGTCAACAAACGTGCCTCATGGGCTGGATTTAACCTACTAACTCTGCTCTGAACATGTTTAGCTAAGGCTAAGAAAGTTAGCTGTCCATAATTTCTCTTTGGCTGTGTGAATAGGCTTTGTGCACTTGGGTGCTGAGAATTGAACTCTGGAAGAGTAGTCAGCATTCTTAAGAGCTGAGCCGTCTCTCCAGCCCTTAAGATGTATTGGTTGTTGTTTTTTGTTTTTGTTTTGTTTTGTTTTGTTTTTGTTTTGAAGACAGTCTCTAAATGTGTAGTTCTGGCTGTCCTGGAACTCACCAGGCAGACCAGGTTGTCATGGATGGAACTCAGAGAAATCTGCCTGCTTCTGCTTCTGCTTCTGCCTCTGCTTCCCAAGAGCTGGGATTAAAGGCATGTTCTACTGCACACAACTTTAAATGTATTTTTTTGAAATATAATTTTTACTTACTTCTTTGTAAATCTCTTTTGGAAAGGGGAATAATGGTATGTATATTTCTGATTTTTGTTTTTATGCGGGGAAGTAAGAGTTGAGTTGCGCAGAGGTAACAAAATGATACTTTTGGAGATGACTTTATATTGTCTTGTGTATTGAGCTCTACTGTCTATCTTTTTTTTTAGACAGGTTCTCACTGTGTAGCGCTGGAACTCACTATATACACCTGGCTGGCCTCAAACTCAGAGGTTTTCTTGCCTCTGTCTCCGGAGGGCTGCTGGAATCAAAGGTGTACAACACCACACCTGGCCTCCTGGTACATTGTTACCATGATGTTTGGAACTCATGCTTAAAACTGTGTTTAAATACTGCATTGTTGTTGTTTTCAAACACACCACACATGGTTGCATGTCTTCTTGAGCCAGAGAATTGAGAAAAATTAAATTAGCTCGTATATACCACTTTAAATTATATTGTGCTTTAAAACTCAAAACCATGAGTGATTTTTACATTTGAAAATAAAGTTGAAGTGCAAGGATAGAGGTTTTTGTTATACACAATTTGAGTTCCTAACGTCAGCAAAAAAATGACCTGAAAGAAAGTATTGATTCCATGTCTGATTTTATATTTAAGCACCCAATGCCAAATGTCCTTAAAATGGAATCAGATGTTTGTAACTTAATACTTAAGAAAAATGATGAGTGCATGTTTTTTACTTTTAAGTATTCGAGGTGCTGCCTGGCTTAAGACATAAACTGATGTAAAAATAAATGACTGCCTGCATAATTTATGTAATGTCCTGCTTCTGATCCTGTTTGTATTGATTTTTCTAAAAGGCTTTTGTGGCCACAGGAACCAATCTGTCTCTCCAGTTTTTTCCGGCCAGCTGGCAGGGAGAACAGCGGCAAACACCTAGCCGGGAATATGTCGACTTAGAGAGAGAAGCAGGCAAGGTAGGAAACATCTTTTTGCAATTTCAAGTATTGTGGATTGTCTTATTACAGTTATTTGCATTGTAACACGGGGGTTGTTAGTCTGACTACCCAGACATATGGTCAGATTGGTTTCAGGTTAAGAGTGTAAAATTATTTTAGTGACTTTTATAGCATTTGATTCCTGATTTTGTATATATAATAATGGGAAGTTCTAACTTATAAGAAGGTAATATCTTACATTTAATATTCAAATTATAATTTCTTTAAAAGTTCAGAAAAATTTTTTTGTTTCTACTAAATTGTTATTATAGTCCTGTGGAAATGGGGGGGTGACTGTATGTTTTAAAAAATTTTTAAGGTTCTGTATTTAGAAACAAGTTATAGAAGTATCTTGTTAATATAGCAAATTTGATTTTAAGAAGAATCATAAGAAAACTACTTGAAACTAATATTTGCTATTTATTTTAAGGAAAGTTTCTGGAAATTTAAGTAAATGTCTTAAAATTTTTTATGTTAGAAGTTGAGATAAAGTTATGAAAATATAGGTGGGAACGTTTATGCTGATAACTATTAAAAATCTGTATAATAGTATTTTAGGTTGGTTGCTCTTTGATCAAGGAGTCAGGGTGTATCATGAGTATATACTATGAATGTATGAAACTTTCAAAGATTAAAAAATTTTTTAAGTTCAGAAGTTGATTTCATGAAAAAAATTTGAAGAACTTTTGTATCTAGTTGTATATTCAGTATTTGCTCTGTAGATGGTTGTGTTGGTGTTTTGAGGCTCTTATTTGTTTGTTTTTCTGGAATGTGTTTTGTTTTTGTTCTGAGGCATGGCCTCTTGTAACCGTTGCCGACCTAGAACTCTTGATTTTCCTGACTCCACCTTGGACTGCTAGGTTACAGGTGTGTGTCACTACACCCAATTTGTATTATGTTACCATTGCCATTACTGTTTCTAGCAACTTGCTTGGTTATGTTTCTATGGCAACATGACTAGCATAAACTTTTGGGTTATTTGTCTGTGGAGTGGTATATTTTGCCTCTTTAGTTTGGGATCAGTTCCTGGACTACTTCCTGTGCTCCAAGTCAGCCTGGGCTACGTGAAAACCTGTCTCAAAACAAACAGTCTGGTGAGATGGCTTAGCAGGTGAGAACGTGTATCTGGCAACCTTGATCTGAGTTGGATCCTCAGTATCCATGTGAAAAGCTCAGTACTGTGGCTGTTAGCACAGCTTCGGCATTCTTACCACAAGATGGGAGCTAAGAGCCCAGAGGCTCTACCATAAGCTAGTGGGGTATCACATTGGCAGAAACAACAGGACAAAAACAAAACCTAAGAACAAAAATAGAAGAGCTGGCACCTGAAAAAGTTGTCTTCTGGTGTTCAGACACATCTGCACCCCCTACCACACACAAATAATAAAATAACTCTTAAAAAAAAGAAAAACAGCAACCAAAAAGAAACAGCAGCATATATACATTAATTTAAAAATTTATCTGTTTAGGGGCCTAGAAAATTGGCTCAGTGGTTAAGAGCACTGGCTGCTGTTCCAGAGGTCCCGGGTTCAATTCCCAACGTCCACATGGCAGCTCACAACTGTCTGTACCTCCTGTTCCAGGAGAGCCAACATCCTCACACAGATGTATATGCAGTCAAATGACCAATGTACATAAATAAAAATAAATAAAATTTTAATAAGATGTATGTTTTAAGTACAGTGAAGGATTGTGTTTGGTTAGTTCTGTGAAGTTAGATTTGATCTTTTATGGGTAACAAATAATCTTTAGATTGAAAAGGAGAAAGACTACAGAGTTTTTTTTTTTTAATTGAGTAATAGTTACATAATTTTACTTTTTTAATATTAATTTGTTAAATTGGAAAATGAAAATTAGTATTCATAATATGTTTCAATTTCAGTAGCAAATGATGAAGCTGGTGCAAGGTATCAGGAGATCTACATCTTATTAATACTGGTTTTAGAAGTTTTTGTTTCTGAAAGAGGAACAGATGGTAAATATTCTCAGATTAAAGCTTGCTTTTTCTGTTGCAGCTATTCACCTCTGTAGTTGTAGTGTCAAAAGAGCTAAATAATGTACATTAACAAGTGAGTGGGTCTGTATTCCAATAATATGATAATGCTAGCCAAAAATCAGTGTCTTTCTTTTATATGATGAAAACACCCTCCTAGCATATTGTTGCATGCTGCTAAGATAAAATGTTCTGGCTGATTTTAAAAAAAGAATACTAACCTAGGTTTTCTTATCCATGGCATTCAGACTATAGAATCTCTTACTTTCTTTCTCCTTTTTTTGCTTTGTTCTTGTTAGGCTTGCTTTCTTCATAGGCCAGGAACTGACTACCAAAAAAATAATTGGGAGAGCTTTTCCCAAATGCTAATTATTTGCCAGTGTTTTATCAGATACCAAATGAGTATCAGCTCATATTTTTTGCACCTCATTTGAACGCCTCATCTTCCTGATTATACCATTCAAGTTCTGGGATTACAGGTGTGTAAATCCCATTGCTTTAACCTAGTTACCTCCCAAGCAGCTTATTTCTCTTGACTGATAAGTGAATAGGAATTTTTGCAATTTTAAATAGATGATATTGGTAAAGAAGTTAATAATTTGAGCAAACACCTAGAGAATATTAGGAAATGATCAATAAAGGTGTAGGATTGACTACTAAAAAAATTTCTGGGAGAGCTTTTCTCAAATGCTAGTGATGTGCTGTGCAGGCATGTAGGCAAAAATGTTCTAGACAAGGAGAAACTATTGTAGAGGACCCAGAGTGGGAGCAAGAACAGCAAATAGGCCACTGTGGCTAGATTAGCCTAAAACAGGAACAGAAGATGACATAAGGGAAATAAAACAAGGAGCTGGTTAGTGTGACCATGGTAGACTGCATAATGGTTTTGTTTATCTGTCTGTGTCTGTCTGTTTTTGAGACAGAGTTTCTCTGTAGCCCTGGCTCTCCTGGAACTTTCTCTGTAGACCAGGCTGGCCTAGAACTAAGAGATCTGCTTGGCTCTGCCTTCCGAGTGCTAGGATTAAAGGTGTATGTCATTACAGCCTGGCTGATTTTTATTTGTGTATATACATACATACATACATGTGTGTGTGCATGTGGAGGTCAGAGGATAACCTGTGGGAATATGTTGTTCTCCATGTCAGTCCTAGGAAATGAATTTTGGTTATCAGGCTTGGTAGCAAGTGTGTTTAACCCACTGAGTTGTCTCACCTGTTCTGTGTGTCTATCTGTCTTTTGGTTTTTCGAGACAGGGTTTCTCTGTGTAGCCTTGGCTATACTTTGTAGACCAAGCTGGCCTCGAACTCACAATGATCTGCCTGCCTCTGCCTCCGTAAGTGCTGGGATTACAGGTATATGCCACATGCCCTGCCCTTTACTTTTTATTTCCCCTGGTTTATTTTGTTTGTTGGTCTGTTTTAGTTTTAAAAGGGTCCCACATAACTCAAACTCATCTTGACTTTGCTATGTAGTTGAGTCTGGTCTTGAACTTCTGATACCCTTCCCTCACCCTCCAGCGTACTAGGTAAAGTGTGTGAGTCATTACACCTGGCTTGACACGGACTTTCATTCAGAGTGAAATGGAGAGTGGTTTCAGGGTTCCTCACAGATGAATGATATGGTTTGTGTTAGGTTTTGATAGGCTCACTCTTCGTTCTAGGTTGATAATAGACTGTAAAGGCTAAAGTGAAGTAGGGAAACCAGTTTGGCTATTCAGGTAATCATGGCAAGGCAGTCGTATCGTAGTGAGAGGTGAATGTTCTGAAATAAAACCATCTGGAATTGTTTATGGATTGGATGTAGTATGTGGGAAGGAGTGCTGAGAAGAACTCCACCTCCTTGGCTAGAACAACTGGAAATATGGGTGCCATCGTCTGAGATGGGAAAGGCTGTTTATGGGGTAAGGAGCAGGTTTGCTCAGTTTAGGACATGTGGGTTTGTGATGGTTGCTTGTTTTTGTAGCTTCTGTTTCCTTATTGCGTACCCGGAACTACCAGAGTTAACAAACTGCTTTTTAAAGTGACCCTTCATCTGTTTATCTCAAGAGTTCAATGTCCTTAGAAAAACATGAACTTTATTGAAATGTAGTTTAAATATAATAAAATAAATGCACTTAGTTTAATGGCATACTTTTCACTTTAACAAATGTATGCATACATATGAATGCCTTCATGGTTAAGGTAATGTTTCAGCCACCCCAAAAAGTTTTCTCATGCTCCTTTACACAAATCTGGGATTCTTGTAGCTGTTCTGGGTCAGGGTCTCTTAAGGTTACATTCAACTGTTAGATAGCACTGGACAGTCTCTGAAGACTTGTCTAGAGCCAAAGGATGTGCTTCTAATCTCATGCGACTTTTATTTCTAGACATGTGTGTGTGCCTCTCTATACAGAGAAAATCAATGAAGTCACCGTGCTTTTTATGACCACTTCTCTGATCATTTGTGTCTCATTTGGTTTATTAGCAGCTAGTCACTAAGTCTAGGCCACATTCAGCAGAGAAGGGGATTATTACACTTGGGTCAAATACCAGAATGATGGGGTCATTGGCCATGTTGGAGCCCAGCCACAATAGTAATTCTTAAGTTTAGTGAATTCAGAACAGCTTACAGTGTTAATAAAGAAGAAACAAATGATTCTTTTATTCAAAACAGTAGTTTTGTGATTTCAGAAAATAGCCCCTTTTATTCATTTTTTTTCTTAATGAGATAGCAGGAGTATTTTCACCTAGACCTATTGGCATAGGTATGTATTCCCAGCTTCTCAGGAATATGAGTGGGAGGATCAAAAAAGTTCAAGGCCAGCCTGGACAACTTAGGGGAGACCTTGTCTCAAAAAGAAGGCTGGAGATGTAGATCTTGCCACGATGGGTTAGCCTGAAAAGAAACCATGTGGGGCCAAGAGGAAGGACTCCAATAATGGCATGAAAAGGCCCAGATGAAGAATAAAAGCAAGTATTTATAAGATTATGGGTGGAAGATAGGATAG